CCGATACAAGAAAAAAGTGTCCGAAAAATTAGGTACTTAAAAAAAAAAGGAAGAAAAGAAAAATAGAGAAGAAAATGGAGGAAATAAGAAAAGAAAAAGATATAAGCAGCGTAAAACATACTACATTTTATTTGTTTGTTTCAACACTTAAAAGAATGTCTCGATGATAAAAAGTCGAAAACAACAAGCGCTGCGTATAGACTAATTTTATTTTATATAAATCTACTACTTACATATGTAGGTACTAAAATGTTTGGATTTGGATAATGAAAATTGTAATCGTACGTACGTCATCACGATGGATTATCGATAGGAACAGTGTGGCAAACTGGTTACGTGACGCTGTCTCCTCAAGCCGGGAGCACATAGAAAAACGTAAGTCCGTAAGACGTAATCAGTAAGGAAATCGTAACATTCGCTACTGGCCTTACGGTCTCTACTGTGATTGGTCAATTCACTTACTGCTTGTGTGTTACGGTCTTACGTTCTTGTACGTGTCATGGGCTTCAGGAGGTCACTCATGTAATTTTTCCCCTAGGGTGGAAATGTATAAAAAGATAAAAATTTTTTATTTGTACACATACATACATAAAATTTTTCATTTTTCTCAATTCCGCCCTAAGAAAAAAATTATTCCGATTGATCACAAGCATCAAAGCTCTGTAGAGTTTATTATGGATGCAGAAAAAATCGTAATTCGTCATGTTACACATTGTTTTTCTCTAACTTGTGTATTCCTACATCCATAATAGACTGTATAGAGCTTTAGTGCTCGGAACCAATCAAAGAAGACCGGCGCACGTCGTCAGTTTGTCATTCTTTTTCTATGAGGTTTTTTAGTCGCCAGTCACTAAATACCAGAAACTAAAATTACAAGAAATTGCAAAAATTAATAAAATCGATTTTTAATTTTATAAAACAAAACGTGAAAATATTCGTGAAAAACTGCTCTTTTGTTTCCAAGGCATACTATATTTGTTTACTGTCCGAATCGTCCGAACTTCAGATATAACGAATTAACATTTCATACTGATCACTGTTTAAGCACGAACTGTTCGAACTATCCGAAATATTCGAATTAGATGCTCATTTTTTTCAACTTCGAACTATTCGAATAGATCAAATATTCAACATGTTCGAATCTTTCGTCTGAGCCCTAATTTCAAGTTACGCATAAATAAGCGCATGATATATTGTTTTATCCTTTTTTATTAATTGGTAAACAACAAAGACAAATGATGCATCATGCATTTCATGCGTAACTTGGAACGCACTTATTGTTAACACCATGGCCAATACGGTGATAAGATTCTAATCCAGCTAGCAATCCAGCAGAAAAGTGCAGGAAAACAAGCATCGTGTGCCGCCGGCTTTTTAGAGGAAGAATACACCGTGTGTAAGAAATAAACACCGACGAGATATTATTAAAAATCGATATTATTATTATAAATCCAAGATAACAAAATATTTACACGATGCCAGCATAAATGCATGCACGTGTGCAATGTATGTGTCATACTTATGATGTCCAGCTAACGCCGGCCGCATCTGACGAGTATACTGCATTGTGCTTGTAAAATGTCAATAAAGTATTCAAGACCTAAAATTTTGACTGTATGTCGTGACTATAATAGTCGTGTGACAGCATGCTCCTGACACTGGCTGCATTCAACAGAGAAAACTAATCAGTTAGCGCTAAGTGATTCTTTAATATAATTGATTCTTGCCTTTAGTTCTTCGTTGGATCTAAGTGTAGGAACCAATCATATTAAAGAATCACTAAGCGTTAAAAAACTAATTAGTTTTCTCTGCTGAACGCAGCCACTGTCCGCATCTAGAATCTGGACCATGTAAATATCATCTGCTCTAACGGCAGAAAATAGCACGCAATGAAAAGCACAGACAATAGAGAACAGGCAGTAAGAAAATATCAAAATCAGAAAATATAAAAAATAATTAAAGTGATAATTTTCGCATTGTTTATTTTAGAAGAAATTAAGTTCAGAGAAATGTACAAAAAATTGTACATACATAATTATGTATAATTTTATATTATAATTATATATAAGCAATTTTTTTCGGAATTGATGAGACTCGTCCATATACAGGGTGGACCATCTGAAGTGATCCAGTCAAATATCTCGAAAACTAGTAGGGATAGAGAAAAATGTTTCGTATGAAAAGTTTAGGGTTA